ATTTTATATTTTAAAAAAAATAAAACAATTAATATTTATAATTTAAAAATATTATTTTATATATAAAACTTACTATTTGCTAGATCTATTTGTTTTGTTATATAGAGATATTAATATTTTTTGAATTAATACCGAAATATTAGTTAAAATATTACTTATTTTATTAAATTTATTATTATTATTATTATTGTTATTATTATTATTATTATTATTATTATTATTATTATTATTATTATTATTATTATTATTATTATTATTATTATTATTATTATTAAATAAAGTGAATAATGGTATTGAGGTTAAATAATTTAAAAATAGGATTAAAGATTTATAGTTTTTTTCAACTTCTTCAATAGTTAAATTTTCTATATGGTTAAAAATGTTATTTAATAGGTTATTTATAGAGATTATATCATCATTTTTTATTAACTGATTTGTATTATTATTTATATCTATATTTATATTATTGTTATTTGTGTCACTATTATTTTTATTAACCCATTCTTTTGTTTTTAAATAATATAGCTCCAATTCATTTTGAATTTTTGTATCACTAAACATTTAAAATGGTGGGGGTATCTAAAGTATATTTGTAATAAAAAAAATTTAATAAAAAAATTTAAAAAAAAAAATTTAAAAAAAAATAAATAAAAAAAAAAATTAAAAAAAAAAATAAATATTTAAATATTTAATATTCAAACTTTAAAATTATTTTTAAAACAATATCAAAATTTTTTTTAATATTAAAATGAAATTAATCACTATAATTTTAATATTTTTTTTAATAAATTTATCAAAATCACAAAGTTGTGATAAATTTTTAGAGAAATTTAAAGATTCAAATAAATGTATTCAAATGAGTATTGCTGGAAGTCACATTTTAAATCAAGCAATTGATACATATAAAGGGAACTTAAAGTATAATAATGTAACAAACACATTAGAAATCAATGGAACTTTAACAAATCTTCAATCATATGAATCAATATGTATAGATGGTTTATATCAACCTTTCTCTGCTATGGATTCTTTTATTTATAAAGATTTTAAAATATTCTCAAATGGTACTTTAAGAATAAATAATGTATTTTTTGCAAACTTGGTTTGTTTTCCAAATGATGATTTCGTTTATTTTAAATTAAATAACTTTTTATATTCTTTATCGGTAAATATTAATAAAAAAAGTTTTTTGTTCTTTTTTTTTTTTCTAATAATAAAACTTTTAATAGATGAGGGCATATTCAAGTTGTCCAATATTATATTTTGGAGAAGCTTGTATTTTATCAACACCACCACCAACTACAACACCAACTACAACACCACCATCAAATTATAATATTAAATTTGAAAATACATTAAACAGCCAATGGGAAAAAAATAATACACTTTTTTATCAATTTACTACCATTTTACAAAATAATGAAAATTATGCATTCTCATCAATAGAGATTGTTAATGATGGAAAATGGGGTGTTTTGGAAGCATGGAACTTAAATAAACTTGAAAATGGAAATTATGGTTTCCCAGGTTATGTTTCAAAAATTGAGCCAAAGGAAACTTTTACATTTGGGTTTGTATCAACAATCCGAAATCCATCATTTACTATAAAGTCGGTGATCAAGGCATGATATTTTTTAAAAAAAGAAAAAAAAAGTGTTTTTTAAATGCTTATTTTGATAAAAAAAATAATAAAAAAAAAATTTTGTTGAATTAAAAATAATAAATAATTTCAAATTCTTTTTTTTTAAAAAAAATTTTTTTTTTTTTTTTTTTAAAAATTTCTTTTATTTTTTTTTTATTTTTTTATAAAAAATAATAATGTTACAATCTTTTGTTAAAAATTATTTTAGAAATAATTATATAAAATATAATATAAATAATAAAATATTATGTTGTAATAAAAAAAAATATTTTTCTACTGGTTTTACAGAAATAAATAATTTAAATATACTAAAAAACCAAAATGATAATAATGAAGATTCATTAATTTCAAATGAATTAAATAATAATAACTTTGTTAATAATAATAATAATAATAACAATAATTTAAATAAAAATTTAGATAATTATGTTTATAGTGAAAGTAGTAATATTGTTTTAAAAAAAAAAACAAAAGAGAAACTCCTCCAAATAAAAAAAGAAAAAGAAATTTTTAAAAATCAAATTATTCCAAAAGAATTCAATTTTTTATATAATGATATCAAAATAGAAAACTCATCTTTAGGATTAGCATCATCAATCAAAAAGAAAAAAAAACAAAAAGAAATTTTAACTATTAGTATTGATGAAGCTGGTAAAGGTTCATTATTAGGTCCTTTGGTTGTGTCGTGTGTTGTAATGGATTCAAAAACTGAACAACTATTTAAAGAACAAGGTGTTAAAGATAGTAAGCAACTATCTCCTTTAAAGAGGGAATCACTTTATAATTTAATTTCAGAGAAGTCAATATATCACCAAACCATTATACTTTCAAATCACGATATAGATAAACGTCGTTCTCTTCACACTCTTAACGAAATTGAAACTAATATCTTCTACCAACTCATCAAAGACTCAATTTTAAATTTAGCAAAGAATCAACCAGTCAAAGTAATTTTAGATAGTATAGAAAGCAACAGTGAAAAGTATTCATTACCATTCAAAAGTTATTTTGGTTCACCAACTTGTGAAATTATATGTGAAACTAAAGCAGATATCAAATATACATCAGTAGGTGCAGCTTCAATTCTAGCAAAGGTTAAAAGAGATCAATTTATAAAATCTTTAGAAATCGAGCTAGATCAAACAATCGGATCTGGTTATCCCTCTGATAGTATAACAACCGAATTTGTAAATAGTTATTTAAAAAAGAATTTTGAATATCCAGATTCAATGAGGAGGAGTTGGACATATAATGGTTTACCAAAAAAAGATCAATTATTTTTATTATCCTTTAAAAAAAATAATAATAATAATAATATTAACAATAATAGTTTAAATAACAACAGTTTAAATAATACAAATATAAATAATAATGATTTAAATAATTCAAATAATTTAAATAATAATTTAAAAAGTAGTAATAGTAATAATAATAATAATTTAATAAATAATTTAATAAATTATTTAAAAAATAATAATAATAAATTAAGTAACACAGATAATAATCATAATGGTATTAGTAGTAATAGTAGTAATTATGGTAATAGTAGTAATATTGGTAGTAATAATAATAATAATAATAATCAATTTGATTTAACAAAAGAAATTAAAAATTCAAAAGAAGGAGGTATCAATACAGAAGAAATCTTTAGCCTATTTAGACAAACTTTTGATACCATGTTAGGAATTCAACAAAAAATGAAAAATTTTGAAGAAAGTTTAAATGATTTAAAAAATATAATTCAGCAACAACATGAAAATAACAATAATTTATTAATTAATGATAATATTAAAAAAAAATCAAGAAAGAAAAAGAATAGTAATGAAAATGATATAGAAATCAACAACAACAACAACAACAACAACTAATTAAAAAAATAATACAAAAATAAATATTTTATGTTATTGTTATAAAGATTTATTTTCCTTTAAAAAGAATTTTTTTTTTTTTTCTCATTTTCTCATTTTTTTTTTAATTTTTTTTTTAATTTTACATTTGTATTATCATTCCATTAAAAGAAAATAATACAAAAAATAGATTATCAATCATCATTATGATATTTATAACCTAATATTATTTTTAGTTTGTAATAAACTGACAACACAAACTATATATTAATTTAAAATTAAATATTATTTAAAAAAATTAATTTTTTTAGATAAAAATTATACAAACACCTCCATAATTTTTTAAAATAATTTAACACCAAGATATATTTAAACACACACACCACAATGTTTTTTTTTATATATTAAAAAAGAAACTCCAATATATGATTTTATGATGATGTTGATGATGTTTTTTTTAAATTAAAAAAAAAAGTAAATTTTACTAAATCAAGTAAGTTTTTTTTTTATTTATCAATAGAGAATTTGAATGAGGATATGATTATATATTTTTAAAATAAATAAAAGATAATGTTATTATTGTTTTAAAAATAGTATATCTCATTAATATTATAGGTTTGGTGAGTGTGCACCACAAAATTTTTTTTATTTTTTTATTTTTTATTTTTTTTTATTATTATTTATAATTTTTTTGTGTATAATTTTTTTTTTTTATTTATTCTATTATTTATTTTAGAATTTATCCCTAGGATAACTATAGTTTTTCATATAATAAAAAAATAATTAAAAAAAAATTAAAAAAAAATTAAAAAAATAAAATAAAATAAAATTTTTTTTTTTTTTAAAAAAAATCTCACAACGAATACAAAAAAAAGCACATAATTAATAATAATACAATAATTATTATATAAAATTATTGTATTATTTACATTAATAAATAAAAAAATATAAAAAAAAAAAATATAAAAAAAAAATAGAATAAACAAAATAAAATGAATTCACCCAGAAGTTTGGATAGCAGCGATGGTAGTCTTGACGGTAGTGGATTTTGTGGTAGTACTAGTAGTGGCTTTACAAGCAGTGGATTTACAAGCAGCAGTGGTTTCAGTGGTAGTACAAGTAGTGGTTTAAATAATATGTCACTTGATGATGATGAGGCAAAAAAAAAAAAGATAAGGTATATTAAAATTGCATTATTAATTATCTATATAAAAAAATCATTCATATTAACATCCATAATTATTTTAGACAAATGCAAAATAGACAGTCGGCTGCCCAATATAGAGAAAGAAAAAAAGAATATTTGGAAAAATTAGAGACAATTGTAGATAATTTAGAATCTGATAGAAATCAACTACTTCAACAAACTAAACAATTAACTATGCTACAAAATGAAAATTATGTAAAAATTACACTATTGGAGGAACAAATTGAAAGTGCCTTAAGAGAAAATAGTGATTTAAAAATTAAACTTTCAGACTTGTTAGGAAAAGATTATCAACAACCACAACAACATCAACCTTCACCACAACAATTACAATCACCATCACATCATTCAATTCATCAACAACAACAACCATCACCACAACACCAATTTTCAAATGGTTTAAATAATGCTGGATTTTATAATCATAATAATTCTTCACCAAGCACACCATCATGCTCATCACCATCATTTTTAGAGGCAAAATACCTTTCATTTCAACCAATGTCTTCATCATCACCAACCTCATCATCACCATCATCACCAAATCAAAATGTAAATAGAAGAAGTAGATTTAATATAGGTGAAAGTAGATCCATTTTGAATCCAATCTCTTTAGAAAATGTAAATAATAATAACAATAGTAATAATAGTAATAGTATGAATAAAAGTAATATAAGTAGTGGTGGTAATAGTATGAATAGTAGTGGTGAAATGGAAATTTCATTCTCTGGTAACCAAAATGATATTTATTCATCCCCTCATTCTCCATCTTCAAGATCAGTACAACCAAAAAGACAAAGAGAATTATTATTGCAACAACAACAGCAACAACAACAACCAAATGGTATGATTTGTGATCCATCATCACCAAATACTTTTAACAATAGTACCACTTATACACCACCATTAGCATCATTTACTAGTATACTTTCAATTGCATCATCACCTTCATCCTCACCTGTAATTTCGTCATTAGCTCAACTTTCCTCCTCCCCAAATTTTAATGGTAATTCAAATTATTTTGAAAGTAGTAATAATAATAATAGTTTTGATAATTCACCATCAAGAAGATATAAATTTCATAATTCAAAAGGAATTTCAAAATAATTAAAGTTAAAATTTATTTATTTTTTTATATTTTTTAATACTAAAAATAAAAAAAAATATTTTTGTACATTATATTTAAATAAAACTAAAAGAAAAAATTATATTAATTTTTTTTACAAATTGATTTTTTTATAATATATTTGTTTTTATTAAAATTTTAATTTATTAAAGGTTTATATTTATTGTGTCCTTTATTTTTGTTTTTTTTAAATATTAAAATTATAACCAATATAGTTATAAAAATAAAGGATGAAGCACAACTTATTATAATTATTTTCTTTTTTTGGTTAGAGTGATTATCTGTACTATTATTATTGTTATTATTACTTTTAAATTCTAAAAATACAAAATTGTCTTCAAAAAGTAAATTAAATATTAAATTTGGAGAGATTGAAATACCATTAACTAAAAAAGCTATACCTTCTACTAAATCACTTTGTCCAATAGGTGAGTTGAATGATTGAGTTTTAAATAAATATATTCTATCATTTTCTTTTAAACAATTGATGGTCGTTGTACTGTTACAGTTTAAACTGATAGTTAATTGATTTGAATAAAGTGATGTTTGATTACCAACTATAATCGGAATGCTATTATTGTTGTTCAAATCGATTGGACTGAATATGATACTGGTAGAGTTATCTATTATTAGATTATTGGTTACCATTAAAGAATTAGAGTCGAGTATTAGCGAGCTATAGATACCAAACTCAATGTTTTCTATTTCAGTTGGGCTTTCAATTCTAATAACTGAATAGCACACAACATTAGTATTAATATCGGAAACCAATGTAACAGTACCAGATGAGGACTCGATTATTAATGTTTCTCCTGAGAACTCCCCAAATATAGATAGATCACCATAAACCAAAGTTTCAAGTGAAGAGGACTTATCTAGCAATGTTAAAGATGCGGTCGGGTCTACTGTTAAAGTTGCATTTGAATTTAAAGTTTTTATTGTACAAGAATCTGTTATTTCTAGTTTTCTTTTTGACATTGTCATATAAACGATTCCAATGTTACTTGATGTAATTGAAACGCTACCCAAAGATGTTAGTTCAAAATTTGGTACATTGCTATTAACTATATAGGAGTCCAATTCATAGTTTATTATACAAATTCTACTAAAAGAGTCTGAATTAAATTGAAGAGTATACCCTGATTGTATTGATAACAAGGAGCCATTATTTAACTGTATATTATCTGATGATAAATGATTATTTCCGTTAAATAGTTGATTATCATAAACTAGTATACCACCATTCAAAACCTCTATTATCGAACCTTGATCGATATTAACTACAGTTTCAATAGTTATTTGTGATTTTAGTGAAATCTTGGAGTTGTCCATTAAATATAAATTGTTTAAATATGATGGTTCTAATATTAGAACATTTTTTGAAAAAATTCTTAGATCTCCTTCAACTGATAAACTATTGAAAATTATTGGAAGCTCTCCTTCGAGTTGTATTATTCCAATTGATTTAAAGAATATGTCAGAGGTAATATTTGCACCACGTTTAATAGTTAATGTTGATTCACCTTCAATAATCGTAGGTATATAGCCATTTTGATTTAAATAATTGATTTCAATATCTATATTAATAATTTGAATATTTGAAAAATTTGAAAAAAAAGAATCTATTTTTAATTCATTTATATTTAAAGATGAGGATGAAGATGAAGATGATGAAGAAGAAGATGAAGAAGAAGAAGAAGAAGAAGAAGAAGAAGAAGAAGAAGAAGAAGAAGATAAAGATGAGGATGAAGAAGATAATAAAGATTTAGATCTAGGTGATGTTAATGATTTTGAGTTTGTGGGTGGGTTAATTAAAAAATTTATATTGGTAATATTTAAATTATTTATATTTATTATTGATGAGTTTTGAATTGTAAAAGTTGTAAAATATTGTTGATACTTATCAATTCCTGGTGAACCGATAAATGTTAATGAGTTGTATTGTAATGGTTGATCTCTGAATATTAGATAAGTAATAAGTGATTGGTTTAATTGAGAAAAATCAATTATAACATCATCATGTTTAGTTGGTATAGTATTATTAACCCACACACCTTTGTATAATAGATCGCATGGATTAAAATAGGTTGTACACTGATCAATAACTGAATTGTTAAATTCAACTATATCACAATTAAATGAATTTAAAATTATAATTATTAAAAATTTTATGATTATTATTTTATTTATCATTTTATGTATTATTATTCTATTTATATGGAAACATTTTGTTTTATAAAAATGAATAAAATTTTAAAAAAAAAAAAAAAATTGATTTTTTTAAAAAAATCTTTTTTTTTATTTAAATACTATTTTCTTTTTTTTTTTTTAAATCATACACTTATTTTTTTTTTTTTGAAACAATTTTTTTTTTTTTTTATGTTCAAAAATCTTTTATATTCATTAATAATTTTTTTTATTTAAAAGTTAATTTTTAAAAAATATAACTTAATTTTTTTATCTACACAACAATGGTAAATATTAATAAACTATATTCATCATTTATCATCTCTGGGTGTATTAATATTTTTTTTTTATTAATAGGATAATAATATTACAAATGAAGACAAATTAAATTCAATTCTTTCATTTTTAAAGCCAGCTTATTATATTGAAATTAAAAAGGAAATTTTAAAAATAGAACAGGTATTAAATATTTTAAATTCAAATGGTGATACAGAAATTCAATATATTGTAAATAATTTTCAAGCATATCAGGTATTATTAAATGTTAACCAGTATGGTTTTATTTTTGCCAAATCGCCAAGTGTAAATAATGGAATATTTGAAATATTAAATATCCATATCGGAAAGTATGATTATAAACTTGCCGCTTTAAATCAGAAATATGAACAACATAAATGGTTTGAAGATTTTTCGGATTTGGTCAAAAAATATATTGCTAATCACACAGAATTGATTAATAATTTGGTTATATATTTTCAAGGTGAGGATATTGACAACAATGTATTTGAAGAACCTCCATTAGTAATCACAGAAGATTTGAGTCAATATGAAATCAAAACACTAAAAGATGCAGATGCTATTTCCTCATATGATAGAGAAGCTCACCAATTCAACAAGGGATCCCATATATATGGCAGTGACTTTATTGTAGCTTCAAATAAAGACCGTTTATTCTACAAGATTGATAATGGTTCACTTTCATTATGTCCATTAAAAGAGTTTGCAGTTTACAAATTTTATAAACAAATGTTTTCTACCCCATGTGTTCCACCCAACCAATTATTAATATTAAAGAACTTTCCAGTTCTCACCGATGATGGTAGATTCAGATTTTCAAAAGATCCTATTTCAAAAATGAGAAACAACATGACCATTGAACAGTTTATTATGGAAAATCCAATTGCACGTAAAAAGATAGAATTATATTTAGAAAAAAAAGCTTATTTTATTCAGGCATCAACCTTTATCAAGGGTTATACCTTTTTTAATTTTATGAATGATTATAATGGTAAAAGCTTTGAAGAGTTTGAAAAAGCTTGTAAAAGTTTAGATTTGCATAGTTTTAGCTCTCATGTATTGTCAAGTTTATTGTTAAACCCAAAGGATTTCAAACTATATTATTTGGCAATAGAAAACGAATCAAATAGGATCTATTGTGTCGAGAGTGATTTATCTTTTGAAAGTGAAATTAAAATCATTAATAATAAAAGTAATAATTCTGATTGGGTATTAGGCACCAGAAATGTACTATATACGATAGCACCATTAATGCAATTATCTATCCAAGATAAAGTATCTACAGAATTTCTCAATGTCCAACCAAATCTTTTTTTATTAGAATGGTTATTGTCAATTAAAGAAAAAGAAGAAATATACATACAATTAATCCATGAATATGTATCAGAATGTGATGTTTTAGATAGAGAAAAAACATTTGACAACACAAAAAACGAATTAAAGTTACCTCAAACTTTCAATAAAGGTTGGATCACATCACTATTAAAAAAATTCAATTTAATTAAAGATCAATTAAAAAAGAACAAACGTACAACACATCAAGAACTATTTGAAATCGTTCATCCAGTTGCAAGTAAATTTTATAAACTCTTATCTGATAAATATGGTAATGATAGACTAGAACAAATTGGATATATTTTTGGAAAGCATGGTTTTAAGGTATTATTAGAAGGCAAAGTAAAAGAAATTCAAAAAATTATTGATGAAAACAAAATTATCCCATCAATAGAACCTCAACAATTATCAATTACAGATACTATTCAAGAATTACTTTCAATAACCGAAAAGAAACATTTCGATTCATATCCAAAAGAAAACTCAGAGAAATGGATTGATTTGGTTAGAAAAAATTCTTTAAAGTCATTTCTGGAATAAATATTTTGTTTTAAAAATATAATAATAAAACTTTATGGTAAATAAACTTTTAAAAATAGAAAATAAAGTTTATTTTTTTTTATTATTATTAAATTAATTTTTTTATTTTTATTTTATTTTTAACTTTAATTTTAATTTTTAATTATTATTATATTGAGATATATAAAAAGTGAAAGATTTAGATGAATCTTTAGTTGGGATAATTATGATGAAAATGTTAGAGACATTAGTGAACTTTTCAATAAAATAAATGTAAAACATTGATTTTAATCTTTCTAATCTATTATAACTTTTATTAAACTATTGTAAAAAATACTATCCACACATTATATAAATTAAACTTTAAAGATTTTTTTTAATTTTTATTTTAAAAATTAATATTTGGATCGTAAATAAATGGTGAGTAATTTTCTATTTTTATAGAGTTTGTAATATTTTCAATTTTAGTTGAATTTTCATCCCTTTCTAGTTTTTCAATTTCTATTGGAATTCTAAATGAATGATTAATATTTTTTACTTTTAATGTTTTAATTGAAGGTGGAATACAATTTGTTAATTGATATTCGAATCCATTAATATCTAAGATTTCAACTGAAGTTGGAATTGAATTTGGTAATAAACTTTTTTTAAGGTTTATAATTTGTAAAAATCTAATATGATTTGGTAAAATAAGTTCAATATCTGAATTTTCAATCTTGAGATGAGTAACATTTGTTGTTAAAAATTGAAGCGGGTGATCTCCTCCACATATTGAAACTGATTGGACCGATAATGGTAGATGATCTGATGTTAAAAAATATTTATAATATCCATCCAATAAATGAATCTCTTTAACACTGTCAGGAATTGAATTTTTTTGAAGTTGAGCTGTTCCAATAAAGCTTAACTTTTCACAAGACAAAGGAATTAAACCCTCTTCGATTTCATATTGATATGATTCAAATATGATTTCTTTGACTTGATCAGGAATCGAACCAACTGATATTTTTTGACAATTTTGTATATGAACAAATTCCACTGTATTTGGGAACTTAACAGTTTTAAGATCATTTTGAAGTTGTAAATTTACCAATCTCCCATTAATATCATTTTTCCCTGAAATTTTAAATTAAAATAATTAATAAACAAATTTATTTTTATTAATAAAAATAAAAAATATTAATATTTACATCTAAGATTGTTATAAAATAAACCTTTATCATCGATATTTTCATTTTTATTAATTTGAATAATAGGTTCGTTGAATATTAAGTTTAAAAATGGCTCATCCAATTGAGAAACCATTTTGACATCACCATTCATTACCGTTTTAATATTTGCATTATTACAATAGATATTTAATAAATTGCACTTCTTTAAATGAATTCTCCTTATAGTATTTGAAAAAAGATATAAAATTTCCAATCTATTATTTTCATCTAAAAATAATCTTTCCAATTTTGTAAGTGATAAATGTAATTCAGTAACTTCTAATTTTAATCTTGAAATATTTAAAATTTTTAAATTTTTGAAATTATTTATTTGTTTAAATAAACCTGAGTTTGATATTGAACCATCCAAGTTAAGGTTTTCTAAATTTGGTGAATTAATTTCAATTGATTCTAATTGTTCGCATTTTGAAAGTGATAAGATTTTTAAATTTGGGGCATCAATTAAAACTCTCTTTAAATCTTGGCACCTATCGGCAAAGAAATTGATCAATGAAGGAAATATATATTTACTTGAAAATAATGATAAAAATGATACTCTACCAAACTGATCCCCTAAATTACAACCAGATAAGTTGAGGTATGTAATTGTTTGTTTTTGAAAATTATTAATTATTGAATTTAAATCTATTACCATTCTTGAATTAACTATTTCGAGGTGTCTAATATTAATATCTAAATTATTTTTAATTGAGGAAAATAAATCATTCTTATCTATGGGTCTTAATTCATCAAAATCCAAATTTGATAAATGGAGCTCCAATTCGATTATACTTATACAATTGTTTTTAATATCTGAAATTAATTTATTAAAATCTCTGCTTTGTTCATTGAATTGGTTTATAAATAATAATCCCTCATCGATACCATCTTTACATTCCCAAATTTCTTTATGAATTTCTTTTGGTTTTTTTTTTTCTTTTGCTTGTAAAATAGCACTGGTATGATTAGTTGAACATGAAAGATCAAGATTTGATATATTAGGTAGGTTATGAGGATTTCTTAATTTTTGAAATCTATTTTTGATTGGTAAATCACTAAATAAATGTGGTTTATATTTATTTGAAATAATTGGTTCCAAAAATTCTAAAACATCAAGATGAGTGATTGATTTCCCACTTTTCTTTGATCTGATTATTAAATGTTGTAAACGAGTAAACTTGTAATATAGTGATTTGATTGTATCTAAGTTAAATGGAAATCCAATGACTGATTTGTTTAATTCTAGTAGCTTTTCTTTTTTTGAATTAAATAATTCCATTGAAGATTCTCGATATGATTTTATTTCTTTTAACCAACTAGACAATAAACTCTTGATATTTAAATTTTCAAATATATATATTAAATCAGAGTCAATTGTATCTTTCATTTGTTCCAATAAAAAGATTGCATTTATAATTTGAGTTGAAATCTTTTCATATGTAATGGAACCACTATTATTTAAAGAAACTTGATGTTTAATTAGGGATGGAACAAATGATTGGTCACAATCAATGGGAAACAACTTGTAGCTTTTAACTGTGGTTCTTTTTGAAAATGATTCATATATTGGTTTCAGGATAAAGTTTCCAAGATTACCATCGGCATTATTGGTTAGTATTTGAAAAATAATTTGTTTTGAGAGGAAAGATTGATCTAATTTGACAAGCTCATCTTGGCCATTTTCTAAAGCTTTTTGTAATTTGATCCCCTTAATAGGTTGGGAAACTAGTACTGGTATGTCTCCTATTAACAATAGTTCTATATTTGGTGGTGAGCAACCGTAATTACCAAATAACTTTTCTGATAATAGATTGACGGCATAATCTACACATGGAAATTGAGGATAATACTTAAAATAGAGTTCATTACCAAAACTATCTGATATTAAATTTACTTGTCTTTCATTCTCATTTTGATTTCTAATCTCTTTAATTTTAATTGAAGCAGAGTTAAACTTTTCTAAAGATCTTTCACAACGAATACCCTTTGCTAAAAATTTTGGATCTATATTTTGTGAGGGAAGTTTAATTGGTAATAATTCTTTCAAAGCAATTTTCCATGTAATCACTGGATTGATGTCAAATAAAATATCCAAATATGTCTTGAAGCCTTCTTTATTATATGCGGGTAAATTTGAATAAAAATCGACAATAATATCGGGACTTCTAATATAATGTACATTTAAGTCTAATAGGTGAATAAAGATTTCATATTTGCCATGTTTAGCGGCAAATTCGAGTGGTGTAAATTCACTGGTACTTTGATTGTATTTATAACCATATTCTATTAGTACAGAAATTTTGTACTTGGCATCATGGTAATTTTCTGTTCGACAACTTTCAATAATTTGGTGAATAATATTACTTTCTGAGATTGCTATTTTACAAAAATCCTTGACCGAATATATATCATACTTGAATATTTTATTGAAAAAGTTGATTGTATACCATGATGGATGTAGTATGAATTGTTGATTGGGTGACTGATTTTTTAATTGAACAATCAATTGAATCCATTTAATATAATCTTTTTCTTCTTTTAAAACATTAAAATCGGTAATTGAAAGTAGTTCTTGAATAGTATCTGTAATTGATAATTGTTGAGGTTCTATTGATGGGATAATTTTGTTTTCATCAATTGCTTCTTGAATTTTTTCGATTTCTGGCTGTTTTAATAAATTCTTTAAGCTTTCGTTACTAAAAATGTACTTATTTATTTCTAATACACTTCTATCTAACTTATCAAATTTTTCAGATAAGAGTTTATAAAATTTACTTGCAATTGGGTGAACGATTTCAAATAATTCTTGATGTGTTGTACGTTTGTTCTTTTTTAATTGATCTTTAATTAAATTGAATTTTTTTAATAGTGATGTGATCCAACCTTTATTGAAAGTTTGAGGTAACTTTAATTCGTTTTTTGTGTTGTCAAATGTTTTTTCTCTATCCATAATATCACATTTTGATACATATTCATGGATTAATTGTATGTATATTTCTTCTTTTTCTTTAATTGACAATAACCATTCTAATAAAAAAAGATTTGGTTGGACATTGAGAAATTCTGTAGATACTTTATCTTGGATAGATAATTGCATTAATGGTGCTATCGTATATAGTACATTTCTGGCACCCAACCTCCAATCGGATTTTTTATTTTTTTTAATTTCACCTTCGAATGATCTGGAATTATCGTAAGAAAACAATCTACCAGTTCCAGCTTCAATAATTAAATTGGTGTGTCGGAAATCTATATGGTTAAGTAATAAGCTTGATAATATATGGGCGCTAAAGTTATCAAAATTCAAAGTTTTGAGACAGGTATCTCCAAACTTTGGATCTTGAGAGTTATTGTGGTGTAGGAAATCAGTAAATAGGGTACCTTCAATAAAAGTTGATCCTTGAATAAAAAAATCTTTGCCTTCTAATGTAGATTCAAACTCCTTGCGTAACTCTGGGATTTCCAATAATTGTTCAAAACGTTTATCATAAGTATCAAACTTTTTAAAAATTGGGTTACTTTTGAAATTACGCTTTTCATCAGAGCTTGAAATTGCCACATTCTTGATTAAAAACAACTGGTTAGGTGATACACATGGCGTTGAAAAAAGTTTTTTATAGAATTGAAAAACACTAAACTCTTGTATTGGAGATAATAAACATGACTTAAAGAAAACACCATCTTTTTCTGAGGACTTATAAACACCTGAAGAATAATTTTCTACTTGGACAAGGGAGTGACTTTTCCTAACATATGACGAAATTGAAAATGCATTTTCTAATGAATTGACTTCGTAAGTTTTTAAATCTTCTGGGATTACTAATGGTCGGGTTTCAAAGATATAACTATCTGTATATTTTTTGCAATAATCAACAAAATCTACTTGGTATTTCCTATGACCAGCAACATATTCATTAACCAATTGAAACCAACTTTGATCTCCATATTCCTTTTTTAAACTTTCCAAAATTTCTTCATATTTTTTAATATGTTCTTTTAAACTGTCAAATATTTGATGGTCAATATTTGGTGAACTGATAAACGATTCTCCGTAATTTTTATGATCTATTATTTGAAAAAATGATTTAATATTTTTAATAATATATTTGATTTTTGAATAACTATTAAAATCTATATTTAGTTCTTTGAAATTAATTTTTAAAAGCTCCTTTGATATAGTTTCATAATATGCTGGTTTTAAAAATGAATAAAGTTTATAAATTAAATCATTCTCCCTTATAACATTTTCATTATTATTATTATTATTATTATTATTATTATTATTATTATTATTATTATTATTATTATTATTATTATTATTATTATTTAAATGTTCAAATATTTGATTTTTATATGGTGCATTATTATTATAAATTGATAAAAAATCAAAAAATTCTTCTATTTCATTATTATCTGATATATTATTCTAAAAAAAAAATTAGTAAATTAGAGATAAATAAAAATATAAACTAAGTTTAGAAAATATTTACATTTTCCATTATTTAATATTTGAAATAAATATATATAACCAAATAATAATACAATTTAAAATGTGAAAAAAAAAAAAATGAAAAAATAAATTTAAATAAAAAAATTAAAAAAAAAATAAAAATTTGTTCCCTTTGATGCAAAAAAAAAAAAATAATAAAAAAAAAATTTTTATAATGAAAATTTTTTGAATGGTGAAAAATTTGAAAATATCTTTAGGTTGGTTGAAGTTTTCTTGCAAATACAAAAAAAAAAAAAAAATTAATAGAAATTTGCTTTATGTTCAGAAAAAAAAAAATAAAAACAAAAAGATTCTTATTATAATTATTAAAATTATTAAAATTATTTATAAAAGTTTTAATAAAATCAAATTATAATTCAAAAAAAATAAGATAAAAAATAAGATAAAAACAAAATTAAAAAATAAATAAAAAATAAAAAACAAGTTTGATTTAAGTTTTTTAAAATAGAAAGATAAAAAAATATAAAAGTGGTGACAGGTATTAGTCGTAAATTTTTTTTTATTTTTTTAAAATAGGGTGAATATTTGGGAAAAAAATTGTAAATATTTTTTAATGATCGGTTCAATCGTTTTTGAACTTCATTTCACCTTCTTTTAAAAACTCTATTTTTCAAAAGGAAAAAAAAAAAAACTTTTTTATCAATAAACAATGAAAAAATTTTATATACAGCAACATTTTATTTTTTTTATTTTTTTAATTTGATTGTTGAATTGTTTTATTATTATTTTGGTTAAATCTTGTTGTAAAACTGTGTGGATTAATTGTTATTGATTTTGTGCAATTGAAAGTTTTATAAATACCAACTAAACGATCTGCCAATTCAAACATATAATTTCTTAAAGAAATAATAATAAATTGAGCATTTTTGGTTCTTTCTTTGATGTAATTTGCAATGATTGAAACATTTTTAAAATCTAAAGCAGCATCGATTTCATCCATAACATAAAGAGCAGTAGGTTTATAATGATGAAGAGCAAAGACCAAAGCTAATGATGAGAGAGTTTTTTCACCACCAGAAAGATTTGAAATATTCTTCCAACTCTTTTTAGGTGGACGTACACTAAATGAAATACCTTCTTCGAAAGGATCTTCACGGTCAATAATTTCTAATTCGGCATCACCACCAAGTGTAATCATTTGATAGATTTCTTTAAGTTTCATAGTGATAATAGTAAAACCTTCCATAAATTCATCCAAACGATTCTTACGTAGTTGTTCATACTTTCTTAATAAGGTATCTCTTTCTTTTTCAATGAGTTCGAATTCATTTTTTTTAGCTTGATAATCTGATTCTTTAATTTGATACTCTTTAATTACTTCAATATTTATACCACTTTCTTTTCCAATATTTTGAAGTTCTAACGCTAATGAATTGATAGCTGCAACTAATCTTTGATTTTCTTCTGGTTCGGAATATTTTAAAATTTCCTCGGTTGTAATAATTAATGATGAATTTTGTTGTTGTTGATTATTATTATCTGTTATATAATCTTTATAATTTTCTCTTTTTTTTCTTTGATGATCCATTTTTCTAACAAAATCTGAAACTATGGCTTGTTTTTCTTCAATTTGACTTTTAATATCTTGAATGGATTCTTCTAATTTTGAATTACTAATTTTAATTTTATCTATAATCTTTTTAGCTTTTTCATATTCCTTTCTAATTTCTTTAGTTTCTTCTTCTTTTTCACGAAGTTTATCTGAAAGTTCATCAGTTTCTTCATTGGCTTTCTTTGTGTCATTTTCAAGGTTATTAAATTTATTTTGAATTTGCTCTAGTCTTTCTTGATTTGATTCTTTTTCTTTATTATTTTCGTTTAATACTTTATTTGATTTTTCTAATAGTTTATCCATTGATTTAATTTGAACTTGAGCCTTGTGAATATCAGATTGATTTGTATCGACACTGTTTGAAAGGGACTCTACCTTATTCTTTTGCATTTTTAATTCTGGACCACCAACGTTCATTATTTCATTTTGAATCTTTTGAATCTCGCCTTGAAGCTTATCTACTGTCTTTTGAATCTTATCCAATTCCTTTTGATCTTTAACTAACGAGTCTTGAATCTTTTCAATCTTTTGTTTCATTTCACCAGATAATTTTGATTTAGCTTCAAGCTCTGGTATAATTTTAGTGAGTTCTTCACATTTAGCTACAGCAGCTTTAATATCCATATCCATTTTTGGCAATTCAACTTCTAGTTGTGATTTTCTTTTGAGTGATTCTTGAATTTGATTTTCAATATTTGCAATTTCATCTCTGCATGCTCTTAATTCACTTTCGATACGGAAAACTTGTTCTTCGAGTTGGGACATTTGTTTTTTATCTTCTTTGGGGTCGCTCTTTAATTTTGAATTCATAGCACCTGCTCTGGGTCTTGTACCACCACCTGTCATGGCACCACTGGTATCAATAAGACTACCATCAACTGTTACCACACGATATCTTTTTGATCCACCATATGCAATTTGTGTAGCTTCATCGAGGGTTTCTGAAACCAATGTATCACCTAATGCACTATAGAATGCAGTACAATATTTCTTTTTATCCTTCATTTGAATTAAATCGAAAAGACGTGGTACATTATTTGGTGTTTGAATGGGGCCAATTCTTGAACGTTGAAATTCAATATTTTCAAGAATCATAAATGTTGCTCTACCTAAATTCTCTTTTCTTAAAATTTCCACACATGATTCTGCAGTTGTAGTATTGTCTACAATAATATTATCCATTTGCGAAAATGCTGCTGTGGAAATAGCAATATCATACTTTTGGTCTATTGCACCCAAATCACCTAAACGTCCATGAATACCATTAATTTGACCAGATTCCCTAAGTTTCATTAAACGATCTAAAATTGAATTTCTTGAACTACTTTCGGAAAGTGAGGCTCTAATTTGCTCTAATTGTCTTCTAGCGTCGAGTAATTGAGAATAAAGCTTCTCTTCAGATGATTTATTTGTTACCAAAATAGCCTCTAATGTTTGAATTTTGGATTTTACTTGGTCCAATTCCTTTTTTGCTTTTGAAATATCAGTTTTACGAGAGCTTGAAATTACTTTTGATTCTTCCAAAGCTTTAATAGCGTCTTCGAGGTTAGTGGCAGCACTTTTATTATCTTTTGAAAGGACACTCAATTCAGATTGCTTTAGATCTACGACAGATTTGGCCTCGTTATGTTTCTTGCTCCATGGTAACAATTCTTTTTGTTTCTCTTCCATCTCTTGTTGAAATTCTGCAATCTCTCCTTTAAGTGACTCCATCATTGCCTCTAGTCTATCTTCTTCAACCGATAACTCTTTTGGTAATTCAATGGCTTCCTTTTCTAATCTGACAATATTTTGATTGCAAATAACTTTGGTACGCTCATATTCAGCTTGCTTCTTGGTTTCCTCCTCAAAGACACTATTATTCTTTTTGATCTTTGTATTTAAATGCTTGATTTCTTCCTTATATTTGATTGATTTCTTTTCAATTGACAATGATTCTGATTTGCATTTTGATAGTTGTTTATTCAATTCATCCAACTCTTTATTTTGCTTTTTTAGACTCTTTTCACACTCTAATAATTTGTTATTGGACTCTTCTTGGGTTTCTTTTTCTTTGGTTAATTTATCTTCAACTTCTTTTTGTTTTTCTTTTAACTCTTCAATTTCTCTCTTTGGCTCCTCTGATGCCACTTGGAAATAAATGAATTTATTTTTAATTAATTCCATTTCTTTATCAATATATTCTTGGGCTCTATCTTTGTCTGCTTGAAGGGCATCTCTTTCTTTTTCTACAATTTTCATACGTTGGTTTGATGTCGATTTCTTTTCATTGGCAATTTCAACTGATTTATAAGTTGTTTCAATATCTTCTAAATACTTTTTGGAGCCAATAATATCCTCTAAATATTCCAATAAACCCTCCTCATTAGAATTTTGACCCTTTGGCTTCATCATTGCAATTTGTTCAACTTCACCCTAAAAAATAATAACATTATTAAAAAAAATTAAAAAATTAGTATATACATTTCAATCTTTAATACTAAAATAATTTAATGGAAACCTACTTGTAAAATTAAAAATCTATTATTATCTAAATCAATACCCTTTTTCTTTAAAAATGGTTTTAATTCATCCAATTTAATTGTTTTATCATTTAAATAATATTTTGATTCACCTTTCTTTGGTGCTGTACGGGTAACTACAAATTCTGAATTTGGTACAACTTGATAATTATCATCTCCTGGCTTTATTAAAATGATGAGACCAAAAAAAAAAGAAATAATTAATATTTTACTTTATTTTAATTTAACTATTTAATTAAAGAATAAAAACTTACCAAATCAATAATATCTTGAAAATAAACAGAAACCTTTCCCATTTGTAAATCTTTATGATTTTCTGAATTATGAATTAATTCTGAAATTTTATTTTGTCTAATTTGTTTAGCTCTATAACCAAATACAAATAACATTGCATCAATGACATTTGATTTACCACTGCCATTAGGTCCAACAATTGAACTAAAACACTAGAGAAAAAAAATAATAATTTAGAATTTATTATAAAATAATGATAATAAAAATTAATTAAACATACTTTATGAAATGGGCCAACCTCTTGTCTACCGGCATACGATTTAAAATTTTCCATAACCATTTTTGTAATCATTAATCTTTTTTCATTGCTATTAGTGCCACTTAACAATGGAGTTTGTTGAGATTCTTGAGTAGTTTGTTTTTGTTGTGAGTTTTTAGTCTGTGATGCTCGTTGTGGTGGTATTGGTGATTGTGGTTCTAATGGCTTTTTGTTTGGTTCTTGGCTCGGTTTAATATCCTCTTCTTCCTCTTCTTCCTCTTCTTCTTCTTCCTCTTCTTCTTCTTCCTCTTCCTCTTCTATATGGCTATCCTCTTCTATTATACTTTCTTCCTCCTCTCCTACCATTTCTTGATCTTTCATTTCGACATCGCTCATTTTATAGTGATTTAATTAATAATTTATATATACATGTACATAAAAAAAAAATAAAAATGGTAATATATTTTTTTTTATTTTAATTTTAAAAATAAAATAATAAAAAAAAAAAAATTATTATTGTTATTTTTTAAATTTAAAAAAAAAAAAAAAAAAATTTATAAAAAAAATTAATTTTTACAAGAATAGGCGCGCATATCGCAAATAAAGTGGGAATTAATTCTTTTTTTATCTCTTTTATATTTATCATTTTATTAACATTACAGGTAATGTTTTTAGGGTGAATAACTAAACAATAAATATTCCAATTTGCGTACAAGAATTTTTTATTGTTTAGTATATAACTTCTTGAAAAGGATTGTTTGTCAACAAACAAAATAAAAGAGCACTAGGGGAAATCAATTAAACCTCAAGATTCAGCAGACTTGAAATAGAACTTTTAGTATCAAAATAAATAAAATTTTAAAAGTATAAAATATATTATAAAATCTTTAGAAATTAAAATAAAAAAACTTATATTTATTTATTTTTTTTTTTAAATTTTTCATTTACTTAATAATTTTTTTTTTTAATAATAATTTATTTATTTAATATTATTTGATTTTGTTAAACATACATGAATTGGAATTTCTATATAACGAGAAATATTTGTGAATACAACCCCAATTAATTCTTAACAACCGATTAAATAACTTAGTACCATCCAGATATACAACCTGTTAATTATAACTATTATAAATATAAAATAAATATTTTATATTAGTTTTTTTGTAACGCAATACCCATCAAATTTGGTTGAAAACTCTTTTTTTTTTTTTAAAAATAAAAAATAAAAGATATTTTTAATTTTTATTAAAAAAAAAAAAGATATTAAAAGATTTCGTTTGATTAATGGGGAAAAATTGGAAAAGAAGCTGGAAAAAAAAAATATCCGATAATGATAATGGTGATATTAATGAACTTGTTATTAATAAGTCTATGGCCTTAATATTTTTTTTTAAGATATCCATAAAAATTATATATAAATAAAAATAAAAATAAAATGAATTTAAAAAAAATTAAAAAAAATTAAAAAAAAAAATGGATTGAATTATGTGGATGTTTTTTTGGTTTTTTAAGATGATGTAATGAAGTACTGTTTTGTGTTTATAAAAAAAAAAATTAAAAAAAGAAAAATATAATGAAAAATATATTTTTTTTTTTTTTTTTAAATTTTTATTTTTTTTTTTTAAATTTTTCTGAAACATTATTTTTTTATTTTTTTTTTTTTATTTTTTTAATTTAAAAATACCCATTTGCTTTATAATTTTGTTTATTGTTATTTAATACAAAATATTTATTTTTAAAAAAAAAAAATTTATAGATGTTATAAAAAAAAGTAGGTTACATTCTAAATAAATAAAGAAACCCAAGTTTTTTTTTTCTTTTTAGAGATAAATTTTGAAAACAAAATAACTTTCAAACACACCCACACATCACAATAATTTTAATAAAAAAATACACAAACACTGCATACTCTCCATAAAAAAATAAAAAATATTGTCCAATATTTAATCACACCAAAACATAAAAACACACAATTTTTGTCAAAAATAGATTTAAATTTTTGATTTTGATCCAAAAAGGATTAACTATATTTCCAAAAACCACATTTATTATAAAAAAAACAAACACTAATTAGTATTTATTTAAAAAAAAAAAAAAGAAAATATAAATAGGAAAAAAAAATTAATTTGGTTTTAAAATTAAAATTTAAAAAAAATTATTATTTAATTTTTTTTTTTTTTCTAATTTCATTTATTTCCCAAACTATTTTATAAAAATATATTATAAAAATGGGTTATACCGTAGGTTTTTAAAAACTAAATTATAGAATCAATACGTCTTTAAATGAAAATATACTAATATTAAATTTTAAATAAATTATTAAACAGGTATTAGAGGATTTAATCGAAATTGAACCAATTTCAAATAGAAAATATAATTCAAATATTCACACACTTGTAAATTTAAGAACTTCACTAATCAATACTTTAGAAGCTTCGAAACATTTTGTAACCCAGAGTGAATCCTTTGTAGCATCAACATTTCTTTTAGCAAGTGATTTAAATAGAATTGGTTTACAATTCCCAGATATTTCCTCATTGTCATCATCATTAACAACATTTAATAAAAAAGTTAATCAACAATTACCACATACAATTGTAAGTAAAAATTCATTTTATAACCCAATAACTTTTTTACTAGTATTAACTAAATAATAATTAAATGGAATTTTAGAAAGAATGTAAATTTTTATTAGACTATTCAAATGAAAATCAAATACCATTTGATCACTCTGAAATATTTAAAGGATTAAAACAAGAAATTGATAAATTTTTGGTAGATTCAAATTTACATAGAAAGGAGTTAAAATCACTTTTATTAAAATATTCAAAATCATCATCAGAAAGTACAAGTGATAAAATCGCAAGCACAATGGCAAAACTTAATCAATCAATTTTCCAATATGAAAAGTATTTATATTCACTCGAAACTGAACTATCCGAATTTTGTATTAGAAAACATGATTATTTATTTCACCTTTCCAAAAATGTATTTATTTATAGATTATAAATAATAAATAATTATATAAAAAAAAATTTTACTCAAACTAACCTCTTTTTTTCTTTTTTTTTTTAGATAATAAGTTTACATCAACTAATTCATAGTGGTAAAAAAGCAGATGCTTCAAATCAACAAGATTTAAAACCAACTTTGTTTTTAAATAATAGTAATTTAAATTACAACAATAATGTTATAAATAGTAATAGTTTACCACCACAAACATTCAAAGATATATTAGATAACCCATTTTATTTAAAAGCATTTAGAATTTTTGCAGAAAAACAGCATTGCTTAGAAAATTTATTATTTTGGCTTGATGCAAATACAATTAAAGATTTAGAAGCTGATCAGTACCCAAGAAATAAAGTTAGAAATCTATATTTAAATATGTATAATAATTATATTCAAAAAGATTGTCAATATGAAATTAATATTGATTCAGAGTAAGTAAAACCAATATAATATAATATACTACATAATATTAATATCAAATATATTATTTTTATTACACTCTTTTATTTAAAATAGATCAAAACTATCCATTGATAATAGAAAAAAAGAAATTGAAGAGGATTCACCATTTTATCCAAGTTTACAATTAGCAGTTGATAATGTTTATCAAATTTTAAATCTATCAATGTTCCCATTATTTTTAAGCAGTTCACTTTATCAGTCAGCAACAATGTTAAATAAACCACCTCCACAAGATAATATATTGAATATGGAAAGTAGAGGAATTTTTCATTGTATCAATTCAATAGAATCATTACTTCGTAATCCAATTACAATCGAATACTTTTTATTATTCCTCAAACAAAACTGCATACATCCAACTACTCCACCAACTCTTATGAGCCATAGCGGAAGTAGTAGTAATTTATCATCAATGTTGGGTGGCTCATCCGGTTCATCATCTTCATCCTCTACTCCAAACAATTCACAATCTCCAAGATCAGTATCGCCATCCACTTCTTTTTCTAGTCTAGGTTTAGTTCCACCAATAACAATTTCACTTTCTCCAAGGTTAGCCCCATTAATCTCACCATTCTCTTTAAATCAAAACACACATAATGAAATTGTAAATATGATTTATTTCTATTTGGAGATCTCCAAATTCAAAGACCTCACAGAAGACCAATTAGACACATATGCCATCGAAATCTATGATAACTTTTTAAAACCAGGTTGCGATAAACAAATTACCTCAATTTCATATCATCAAGTTCAAGATATGATCTCTAGCAAAAGTGTAACCAAAGATATGTTCAAAAACGCTTGTCAAGATATCCTCCTTCATATAGCCAATAATTATTTTCAACCATTTTTAAATAGTAATCTCTGTAAAGAAATGTTACAACGTGAAGAAAAGATGAAAAAATATATTGACCGTGAAGAAAAGAAAACCAAACAAGATTCTAAACTAGATCAACAATTTGAATATATTTTAAAAGAAAAGTTTAAATTAATTTTACCATCAACTAAAAATTCAACATCCTCAACAACATCTAGTGGCATTAGTTTAAGTACTAGTGGCGGAAGTAGTGGCGGTTTATCAATTAGTGGTGGTAGTAATAGTGGGGGTAGTAGTATAACAAATACAAATACAAATAGTAGTAATAGTAAAAGCCACAGCAAATCAAATAGTAGTAGTAGCAGTAATTATTTATCACCAAATTTAATATCAAACTCATCCTCATCCTCATCATCAACTACAGATAAAATAAAAAGTATATTTTCACCATCATTTGTAAATTTATCATTAATTGGAGGTAATGGCTCATCATCAAATTCAAGTATACCACAATCACCATCATTGGCATCAGGTACAGTTTCACCAAGAAATGATGATCTTCATTATTTAGGTCAAGGCCCACCATCACCACATATTTTAGATGAACCAAATGAAATTTTAAATTTCATTCTTACCGATAATCAATGGCTTGATGCATTCAAGAAATTTGTTAAAAATGAAAAATCAGAAGAAATTTTGTTATTTTGGTTAGAAGTCGATTCATTCCTAAAGAAAAAAGATAAAAATGTTAGAATGGTCCAAAATATTTATGAAACCTTTGTTTGTGATGGCTCTCCATTAGAAGTTAATATAGAATACGAAATTAGAACTCAAATAAGAACTGCAATCAGACAATCATCCTATCAATATAATGATGGAATCGAAGAAGCCCTCAAAGCTGCCTCTCAATCTGTTTTAGAAATGATTAGAGTGGGATCTTATAAAAACTTTTTAAAATCACCTTTATTCAAAGAATACTCCTCATCTTTGGGTGATCCATATAAAAAATCAAGAAAAATTAATAATTCAAAATAATAAAAACTATATTATTTTAAAACAAATTTAAAAAAAATAGTAATATTACAATCCATTTTATGTATTTATAAACAATAATAAAAAATCTTTTAAACTTTTTTTTATAAATAATTTATTTTATTATATTTGTAATTTTAAATTAACTATGTAAGAAAAAAAAAATGATTGGATGATACAGTGTAAAAATTATTCGTATTTTATTTATTTATTTAATAATTTCTCATATGAATAATATTTGAAGTTTGTTCATTAATTGTTTCTGGGAGTGGACAACCTGCAACAGGAGCGTAGTCATATTTGACACCCATAAATGGCCAATTTAATTTTAATAAATAATAGTCACCTTGATAGTAAAGATATTTATTTAAACCAACAATACCAATAATTCTCTCGATGATATCTAAGATTGAACCTGATCTATCCATTAAAGATTCATAGAATCTAATAATTTCGTCCCTATGTTCGGTGAAAACAACTGGTTCAGGTTTTTCTGAAAAAAGATTTACATAGTCCCTCTTGAAAACTGTTGAACAATTGTATCTTGCACCAGCAGTATAAAGGAAATCGAATGAGGCTGCTGTGAAATCATCACAAGTAGTTGATGGAACATATAAATCTTTGCCATAATTGTTCCAAACATCCCAGGTTTGATAAACTAAAAAAAAAAAAAAAAAAAAAGTTAATATTTAAAACAATACTAATAATAAAGATTATTAATAAATATAAAGATTTACTTACTTGGATTAGTTGTGTTATATGATTCCATCCACTCGATATATTGATTTAATTGGGTACCATTGATTGTGGCCATAAAGGTTTTTGAGGCAGTTGAAAAGTATTTTGGATCCCAATAAGTTTCATTGACAAATGGAATAGAGCAAAGAATACCAGCATTACACCAAAGGATTTCTTTTGTGCCATTAACATCGATAATATTTGGTAGAGTTCCATTACCTACTTCATAATAAGCATCGTACTCTGCTGTATAATTTTGGCCAGTTGTAATGTCATAGAAACCTACGGCAGAATGATAGCCTCCTAATCTTCCAAAAAAGTTACCAAACATACCCTCAAAAATTGGTGCTTGTAAATAATATACATCAATAACATCGTCTTCGTCGAATTTTCCCCATGACGATGGTGTTTCTGGACAATCCTCTCTTTTAATTCTTTGGACACATAATTCTGGGTCGTTGTCAGGAATTCCTTGTGATTTAGTGATAGTTGTAGCTGTTGCTAAAAGTAATAATATTAAAGATATAATAATTTTCATTTTTTCATAATTTTAGAATATTTGTTGTTTTTATTTTATAACAAATGAATATATTAAAAATAAAAATAAATTTTTATATTAAAAAAAAATGATAAAAAAAAAAATTAAAATGTATATAAAAAAATAAAAGATTTTTTTTATTTATTTGTTTTTTTTGTTTATAATTAATATTTTTAAAATATATCTATTTAATTTATTAAATAAAATAATGTGTGGTTGATGTGTAATGTGGAAAAGAGAAAAAAAAAATTAAATTAAATTTTTTAAAAAAAAAATAAAAAAAGAAAAAAAAATTTTTTAAAAAAAATAAAAAAAAAAAAGAAAAAGAAAAAAGAAAAAAGAAAAATATTTTTTGAAAAGATATTTAGTTTTTTTTTCAAAATAATTTTTTTTAAAGTTAAAAGACACCATGATGTGGAAAAATAAAAATCTTTTATTGGGTTTTTTAAAAAATATTATTTATTTTTGTTATAATATTATATTATTTTGGCTTTTGGAGCTAATATTTTCATTATCGTCGTCCACATCATCTTGGTCATAAAAGCTATTATAAAAGCTATTATTTTGAGGAGATAAGGAAGGAGAAAGATTATTATTATTATCTAAAATTAAATTATTATAGCTATTTGTTGTTTTAAATGATTTTGGGCCGCTATTATTTGGAAGTAATGGATGAGTCTCTTTATAATTCTGTACAGATACACTTGGTGAACTTGAGTATAATAAATCTTGTTCTTCATCATTTGAAGCATCTTGTAATTCTCTTTTAATTCTTTTATTTCTACGATCATAAAATATCAATAATGCTAAAAGAGTAAAAATTTGAATTGATGAACATAAATACGATAACCATGTTGATACACTTTCCTTTGAGACAAATATTAAAAAGTATAAGTTTACTAATGAACCTGGCCCTTGAATCAACAACATTGTAATTGAAAATGAACCTACTACTTTATCCCTAATTGTTTTATAAATTTGTGGTGACCATTGTATAAATGTTACTATTGTGGATAATATACCCATACTATAACCAAATATATATGTTGTATGTGAACAAACTCCGACATAATCTGATAAAAACACAGCAACTATAGTTCCAACCACAACTATAAATAATACTAATATTGTAAAAAATATTTTTGAATATTTATATTCTTTTTTTGCCGCTGCTAATTCCACCATTTTTTCTTTTTCAATTAAATTTAAATCCCTAGGAGCATATATTAAATATAGTATATAACTAAAAAAAAAAAAAAGATTAGATTCTTTATTATTATTTTCTATAATGTTGTATTATTAATAATTACATTGGAAAAGAAAGAAGCCAAATACCAAATGATTGAAATAATGATAATAATGAAGGTCCACATGTTGAGAAACCTAAAACTGTACAAGCTTGAATTTGTGGATATTTTAAAACAACTAAATTATTATAATTTATTATTTAAAAATTAGTAACAAATTTCTATTCATTATACAGTATAATGAAAATATTGGCATATTGTATACTTACACATATTTACAAATCCACCAAATTGGTTCATATTACCTAAAAACATCCATAGAAAAGAAAGTCCTATAACTGATTTGGTTTTTATAATCTTTACATGTTGTGGAATTACTGAAAAGCAACATCCTATTAACAATATACATCCTAATGCTATACCACTAGGGTTCATATCAACTAGAATATCATGGAATTCTTGTGATGAATGTGGATCAACTGTCCCATTAATACAAAAACCGGGTTGCATTTATTTTAATTTTATTTTTAATATTATCTAATTTCGGTTTTATATATAGTATTGGTTTTATTTTATATTATTATTAATTATTATTATTATTATTATTATTATTTTGAAATTGGTTAGTGTGAAGAGGTGTTTATATGTACAGAGTGTTTGTGTTAAGTGGTGTTGTTATTATATATACAATGTTTTGTTATTATTTAAAAAAAAAAATTTTTAAATTTCTTTTTTTTTTTTTTTTAAAAAATTATTTTAAATTTTATATTATATTTTGTTTATTTTTATATTTTTAATTTATCTTATTTTTTTGATAAAAAAAGAAAAATGAAACAACAAATGATTGAGATAATTTCCTGTGCTAGTGATAAAGTCGAAAAAAAAAAAATAATTGAAAAAAAATAAAAAATTAAAATTAAATAAAAAAAATAAAAAATCAGGTTTTGTATTGGGAATTTGGGTGCTGGTTTACAAGAAGCAATGCTGATGAAGAATTAAAACTAGTTTGCGAAAAATACGATATACAAGGTAAATTTCTTATTATTATTTATATTTATTATTATATGTGTTATTT